GCCATGGTGTGGAGCACCGTCTGCTCCAGCACGCGTCCGGTGATCCGTTCGAGCTCGCGAAAATCGAACGTCACGACCGGCTCCATCGCGTAGCGACGGTGCGCGACGTACTCCATGCCGTGGAAGCGGGTGATCCGGTCCCGCACTTCTCGCGGCGTGGCGGGCGGCCCCGCGGGCAAGGTCTCCAACGCCGCGTCGACGTACCGCAGGCGACGCTCGTCGGCTTCCTTGCGGGCGCGCCGTCGATCCGATTCCTCCCGGGCACGATTGCTGGCGAATCGAAGGCGCGACTGATCGCGAATCTCCCGCAGCTCGTCCTCGAATACCGGCCGGAATTGCGGCGGCGTCTGGCCCTCCCACGCCCACGGCGCGAGGAGATCGGGCCGCGCGTACGGCCCGCTCTGATCCGTGAAAAAGCCGCTCGTGAAGAGCCGGCCGCCGCGGAAGAGCGCCTCGTTGATCTCCCCCACGCGTTCCGCGGGCACCCGCCACTCGGTGAGGCACGAGCACCCGAATTCACGGAGCTCGCCCCTCGCGTGCGCGTCCTCACTGATCCACTCGCGGAGCGTCCCGCCGCCCAGACCCATCGGGGCGTCGAGTTGCTCCCCGGAGACGTAGGTGACGCCCCCCACTCGCGTGAGCAGAGACGTCGCGCGATCCACCGGGGATTCCTTGAAGCTCCACCATTTTTTATCCGCATCGAACGCTCGGAACGCTTCGGACGATCTATCTTGAGGGACGAGCGGAGTGAGCATCTCTTCCCTCGACTCCCTCCCTCGCACGCAGCCGAACGCGTCCGCTGCCAGTGCGAACACGTCATCGACGAGCAGGAAATCGAACCGCGAGTCGTGCGGATTCCACCAGACCCCGACGTGGCACCAGGGCAGGGCGAGGTCGATGAGAAACGAGACCTGGTCCGATCTGCCATGGATCGCGTTACTCACCTTGCCGTCCCCGGCCATGAACCCGAAGCCGAACCATCGGACGCCGCGGAATCGTGACTCTTCGAGGCGCTTCCGCTTGCGCTGAAACGAGCCCCAGCTCGAGCCGATCCCTTTGACATTCGGCGCCGATGTCAACAACGCGTCCGGCGTCAGCCCGCGAGACCGGAGCGCTCCGAGCACGGCGTGGTACGCCTCTTCCATACGCTCGGGCGTGATGGTTCCGCCGTGGGCGCTCCGGACGAGCCTGGGATTGTCTTTCTCAGCGTCGGATGACATCGCAGGAACCAGCCTATCTGAGAAGCCGTTCTTTGTTGCCTGCGTGTCCCCTCGCTCACGCTCGGGGCTGCTGCGTGAGAATCACACGGACACCCCACCACCGCCCGACGGAGGGCGACCGCTTTGGCCCGCTTCCTTACGGGCGCGGTTGTTTTAGGAAGCTCATGGTCAGCGCTCGTGCCCGCCCCTCGCGCTCCACCAGCCCGCTCCCTGACGGTCGCGGTTGCCTTCGTGCTGCCGGCGCGTCCCGTTCACTCCAAGGCAACCGGGAGCGTCAGCGACCGGGCACACCCGACCGCAGCACCCACCGCCCGGCACCCCCTCCTCGCCCGCATGCAAAAACCCCGCCCGTCCCAAGGGACGAGCGGGGCCAGAAGTGAACTGCGATTCTCTCTGCTCGTGATGAGCGATGTTCGATCAGCGGCGACGGCGTCGCGCCACGGCGCCCAGCGCCAGGCCGCCGATGACGAGCGTGCCCGGGGTTGGGATGCTCGCGAAGGGGGCGCCGCCCGGGATCTCGCCGTTGTTGTCCAGGTGGATGTTCACGCCGTTGACGATGACGTCGGGGAAGAAGACCCCGCCGCCGGCGCGGAAGTTCGGGTAGGTCGGCACGCGGCTGGCGCCGGGTGTCGGGCGGAAGGGGTCGGGGGTGATCTCGAGCGGGTCGAAGATGCCGCCGGTCCCGCCGATCGGGGTGATCGGCTCGGGCTGGGCGACGGACCCGAGCGGGTTGTCGAAGTCGCCGCTGCCGTCGTCACCGGATCGATCGATCTCGGGGATGTCGACGTAGCTGATGGGGTACGGGGGCGTGTCGTCCTTCTCGGTCGGATCATCGAACTCGAGCGGGTCGAGGATGAAGTCGATCGGGAGCGACGTGATCGGGTCCTCGAAAGGCATCGGCTTCGGCGTGGGCTGCTGGCTGCTGGTCTGCGCGATGGCGGACCCGGCGAGCAGCGCGACGACGGCGCCGGCCACGAGGGTGTTCAGACGGAATCGGTTGTTGCGTTTGGTGGTCATCCCTGCAACTCCTTAGCTCGCGTTGTTGACGACGCGGGCGGTCTCGAGGATCTGCCAGCCGACCGGGCGGAAGGACGGGAAGCGTCCCATGGTCGCCGTGATCAGGCTGCGGTCCTCGTCGTCGATCGTGTACTGAAGGTCGTACCCCGTCGCGTCCACCATGAGGCGGTGGAGCGCGAACTGCATGGTGAAGACACGCTCGCGCATCGCCCAGTTGTCCAGGCGGTCCGCGATGTCCAGGGCCTTCGCCGTGAGCGTCTGCATCGCCGTCTGGACGTCCCGTCCGTGCAGGTGACGCAGCGCGATGTTGCTGCCGAAGATGCACCACCACCCGTGCGCCTCGAGCAGGTCCGCCTGCTCGACGCCCGAGAGGTCCTTCGGGAGCCCGGTCAGTGATTCAAGGATCGTCTCGATGGCCGCGTGCGGGCGGATCTCGCCCAGCTCGGCGCGGACTTCAAGCAGCCCGCCCTCGCAGGTGCGAACGAAGCCCTCCACCGAGCCCACGGCACGCGGGTCCTCGATGGCGCGGTAGATGTCGATGGCCGTGCGCAGATCGTCGCGGGCGCCGCTCGCGTGCTCGCGCTTGTTCTCGGGCTCGCTCGCCATGAGGCGGCGGCGGGTGTTGCCGCGGACGTAGTGGACGTACGCGACGCGTTTGCGGTCGAGCGGGCGCTCCGGCGGGTTGGACTCGTACCACTGCGCGAGCACCTCGCAGGTGCCGAGCGCGGGGGTGAGGTCCCACAGGGTGTACTCCGCGTGGGCGAGCGTCGCCTGGAGGGCGAGCCGCAGACGCAGAGAAAGAGCGCCCTGGTGCAGGCCGCGTTTGGCGCACTCGAGGACTTTCGGATAGCGACCCAGCCCGTCCCAGCCCGCGGCCTCGCGGATGCAGGCGTGGGCGCGCTCGTCGGAGGACTTGGCGATCGCGTACATCTGCTGGGAGATGTCGACGACGGCGCGGTAGTCGGCCTTGCCGACGGCGTCGGTAACGCCCTGGGCGAGTTCCTTGAAGTCGCCCTCGGTCGCCGGCGCGGACGCGTGACGGGCGTGCAGCCCGCCGGTCCAGATGGCGTCGACAACGTCCCCGACGGGCCACTCGAGCACGTCGGCGAGTTTGATCAGGTAGTCGGCTTTCGGGTTTCCACTGGCGGGGAGAATCTTGGTGGGGTCGCGGTCGAGCGCTCGTGCGAGTTTCGCTCGGCTCCACCCGCGTGTGACGCGGGCGAGGTTCAGGAGGTTCTCCAGCCTCTGTTTTCTCTCTTCTGATGCGGACACAAGCGCCTCCCTCTGGGTGGCCCCAAAACACGAGTTCCCGGCGTCGCGTCCTGCGACCCGGTGCTCCACCCCTGGTTCCCCGGGACACCCCCCACGATGCTCTCCGCTCACCCTCTGGAAGATACTCTCTTCGCAATTCCTTCACAGGGCAAGGGAAATGGCGTGAAACGCCTCGATCACCCGTTGAAGGGTTCTACGCGGATTCCCTCTTCACGGTTCCTCAGAAGGGTGCGCCCGCACCCAACAGCCCCCAAAAAACGGGCCCACCGCATCATGGGACCGCTATGCGGGTCTTTCGGATTCGTGCTTCCCGCCTCACGATCGCGAAAACGCCCCTTTGCGGGCTCGATCCTGCCAAAAGGCAGGACGGCATCAAAATGAATATCAGTGACACGATCCCTCCGCCCGCGCATCAGTATGTTGTGAGTAGTTCTGCTGTGCTCTTTGTCGCAGCACACCCGAAGCCCGGGCCGGACACCCCGGGCGACTGCGGACACAGACGGGTGAGCCCCCGACCCACGATCGGTCGGGAGACCGACAAAGGGCACCTCTCTCCCGAGGCCGGGATAGACCCAGAGCCGCACCTCCAGGCGGTTCCCGGTCACCCGGCCTCACTCTTTTAATCGGCGAGCGGTGATCGACGGGCGAGGCTTGGAAGCTGCGGTCTGACGAGCCCGCTTCCTGACGGGCGCGGTAGTCATCGTGCATCGGATGGTGTACGAATTCTCGATGGCTACCGCGACCGTGAGGGAGCGGGCTGGTGGAGCGCGAGGGATGGGTTCAAGCCTGCCGTGGGAGCTCTTTCACTACTCTGCTTCGATGAGTATCAAACAGGACGAGATCGCGATCATCGGGGCTTGGATTACAAACCAAGAGGGTCGAGTCGTCGGCGATGCTGCTCAAGAGAGGATTCATCAGCTCCTGGAATCACACCTCGAACTCATCGAAACCGGCAACTGGGAGGCCCTCTATCAAGATCCATGTGATGGTCGATACTGGGAGCTGACGTACCCGAAGAGCCATATGCATGGCGGCGGGCCGACCGCGCTGCACGTCATCTCGCGGAACGATGCTGTGCAGAAGTACAAAGTCAGTCCTGATTGATGATCGGCAGAAGTTCGACGCTTTGTATCCCGCTCGCTGACGCTCGGGGCTGCTACAGGCGCTCGCGTGCTATTTGGTAACAACCGCGAGCGTAAGCGAGTCGGGCCAGAGGGGTCGTGTTGCACTCGGCCCGGGTCAGCACCTCCACAGATCCGAATTGGCTCCTGCTCAGTTCACTTGGGATTCACCACCGCTGAGTGCGTGCGGCACCGCTTTGGCCCGCTTCCTGACGGGCGCGGTTGTTACCGGAAAGCGTGCTGTAACAACCGCGAGCGTGAGCGAGTCGGGCCAGAGGGGTCGTGTTGCACTCGGCCCGGGTCCGTTGTCCGGACACTCAAGAACATACGGCGACCGCATGACGGAGGGCGACCGCTTCGGCCCGCTTCCTCACGGGCGCGGTTGTTCCCTGGCTCTCTGTTCCGCTTTGTCCAGCCACTCCCGGAGCATCTCCGCCCGGGTGGTGTCGCCCGCGCGCTCGGCGAGCCGGGCGGCGGTGCGCATGATCCAGAGGATCCGAGGGTGCGTCTGGCCCAGGCGGGCCGTGAGCCGCTTCGTCGCGGGATCGTGCAGGGGGTACACCTCCCGCGTGCCCTCGCGAGAGAAGGCGATCAGCGACCGGAACACGCGGGTCTCGTCGAGCATCCAGTGGCTCGACGCGAGGTGCTCCAGGCGGATCGCGTGCGCCCGGTTGACGGCGCGCGAGGCGGCCTCGAAGTCGTCGCGCATCATCGCGAGAGCCGCCCGCTCAATCAGGAGTTCCGCGCGGTAGGGGTGATCGGCGTCGAGCCCCGTCGCGAGCGAGCGCTCCGCTTCGTCCAGCGCCCGCGCCGCCCCGTCGAGCTCCCCGAGCCCGAGCGCCGCGCGGGCCTCGGTCAGTCGCAGGAGGCACAAGAGGTATTCCGAGCTGGGCGTCGCGCCAACACGTTGCGTTGCTTCACGCACGAGCGCCAGCGCCTCGGCGTGCCGCCCCTGACCGATGTACACCTCCGCCCGCCCCCGCGCCGGGTAGCCCGCGTAGAACGAGAACGGCCCGGGGTAGGCCCGGCGCATCAGGCGCTCGGCTTCCTCGAATTCCGCGAGCGCCGCGTCCCGCTGGCCCGACGCGAGGCGCATCGAGCCGAGCGCCGTTCGCGCCCAGGCCTCCTCGGAGGCGTGACCCGGGAGGCCGGCGAACGCCTCGACCGAGACCGCCATCAGCGCCGCGGCCTCGTCGGCCGCGCCCGCGTGCTCGAAGATGAGCATCGCGAGGTCCTGGCGCGACTTCGCGGTCAGCGGGTGGCCCTCGCCCAGCTCGGAAAGCCGGAGCCGGAGCGCCTGGCGTAGGTGCGCGTCGGCCTCGGCGTACCGCCCGTGCCGGCGCAGCACGAACCCGACCAGCGACCGCGCGTGCGCCTCGGCGACCGGGTGCTCGATGAGGGTGTCGTCGATGCGGTTCGCGGCGTGGCCGATGGCGTCGATGTACGACAGCCCGGCCCCGCCCAGCTCCGGGTCGGCGCCGAAGATGACCGCCTCGAGGTAGGTCGCCATGGCGCGCTGGTTCGCGGCGTTGGCTTCCGCCTCGGCGCGAGCACGCTCGGCGCGGACGTACCCGAAGCCCATCAGCGCGAGCCCCGTCAGGACCGCGACGCACGCCACCGCCACGCCCGCGAGCGCCCCGGCGTGGCGCGAGGCGAACTTCCGGCCGACATACGCGAACGACCGCCCGTGCGCCCCGACCGGGCGGTTGGTGAGCAACGCCCGGATGTCCTCCGCGAATGCCTCGGCCGACGCGTACCGCGCCTCGGGGTCGCACGCGATCGCCCGCTCGATGCACGACGCCGCCTCGGGCGGCAGATCGGGCCGCGCCGCCCTCGGCGGGCGCGCGGGCGTCGACCGCACCGTCGCGAGCGCCTCCGCGAGCGTGAGGCCCTCCAAATCGTGCGGCAGAACCCCCGTGAGCAGCTTGTACGCGGTCACGCCCAGGGCGTAGACGTCGGATCTCGTGTCCGGTGCCGCATCGGGGTTCGCGAGCTGCTCGGGGCTCATGTACGCGAGCGTCCCCGTCAGGCCGGGGCGCGGGCCGTCGCGACGCTCGCCCGCGTCCGCGGCGATCCCGAAGTCGAGCACGCGCGCCCGGCCGTCGCCGTCGACGAGGATGTTCGACGGCTTGAGATCCCGGTGGATCACGGCGCGCTGGTGCGCGTGGCGCACCGCGTCGCACACGTCCGCGAGCAGCCGCCACCGCTCGCGGTCGCCCAGGCCCGCGGCCTCCGCGTGCTTGTCGATGGGCACGCCGTCGACGTGCTCCATCGCGACGAAGGGCTGGCGGGAGCGCGACCCGTCGGCGCCCGTCACCTCGGCGACGCCCGCGTCGAACACGTGCGCGATGTTCGGGTGCTGCAGGCTCGCGAGGAACTGCCCCTCGCGCTGCAGGCGGGACGCCTCCGCGTCACCCGCCCACGCGGCGCGGAGCAGCTTCACCGCCACCGTCCGCACCGGCGTGTCCTGCGTGCAGAGGTAGACGACCCCCATCCCGCCGCGACCCACCACCGACTCGACGGCGTAGCGGCCGATCCGCCGCGGCGGCGCGTCCCCCGCGGCCGGCGGCGCCGCCGCCCGCCGGCCGCGGGGCAGGAACTCGGAGGAATCCCCGTCGTAGGCGAGCAGGCGTTCCACGTCGCGGCGCAGCGCCGGGTCGCCGGCGCACGCCTCGTCGAGGAAGGCCTCGCGGTCCTCGCCGGCGAGCTCGCTCGCGCGACCGAACAGGTCGCTGACCCGATCGTGACGCGTCCGGCTCATCCGGCGCGCTCCCCGTCGAGCTCGGCGCGAATCCACGCCCGGGCGGCGCGCCAATCGAGCTGCACCGTCCGCTCGGAGACCCCGAGCGCCTCCGCCACCTGCGCGTTGGTCATCTCGCCGAAGAACCGCATCTCCACGACGCTCGCCTGACGCGGGCTCGCGCGCTCCAGGCGCTCCAGCGCGTCATTGAGATCGAGCAGCTCGTCGTCCGCCACGTCCCCGCCGCCACGCACGGACGACAGCGTCACGCGCTGCCATCCCTCCCCACGTTTCGCGGCCTTCCGCCGGCGGGCGTAGTCCACCGCGACGTGACGCATCGCCTTCGACGCGACGGCGTAGAACTGCCCCCGGCTGCCCCACTCGTGCCCGCCACGCCCGAAGAGGCGCAGGTACGCCTCGTGGATCAGCACCGTCGGCTGGAGCGTGACCGCGTGGTCAACCACGTGCGACGAGGCGAGCTCGCGGAGGCGCTCGTACACGGCCTCGATCGCGCCGCGTCGCGCCCGCTCGTCGCCCCCGGAGGCTCGGTTCAGCAGTTGTGTGAGATCGCCTTGCATCGTTCGGGCAGAAATTTCGGGATTCCGTTGCGCCCCCGCCGTTCGGAATGCGTTCCCACTGTGCGAACGCACCCTCTCAACAGGAGCATGACCCATGAAGCGTACCGTTCAAGCCCCGATCGCCGCATTTCTGGCCCTCGCGGCCTTCCCATCCTTCGCGAACGCCCAGGGCGTCACCGGGACCGCGTTCGCCCTCGAGCTGGCGAGCGACGGCACCGTGTTTATCGGGGGGAATTTCGACAACGCGACGGGCGAGGACGGCACCGTGATCGCCGGCCGCATTGTCAGCTGGAACCCCGGCACCGAGCGCTATTCCGCGATCGTGGGCGGGGACCTGCCCAGCGGCCGCATCAACACGCTCGCGTTCGAGCCGAACAGCGGCGACCTGCTGGCCGGCGGCTCGTTCAGCGTGATCACCGACCCGGACAACAACGATATCAGCGTAATGAACGCGGCCCTCTACGACCCCGACGTCGAGCAGTGGTTCCCGATGGGCGGCGGTGTCAACGGGGAGGTGCTCGAGATCGTGCCGGATCAGAAGGGCAGCGCGATCGTCGCGGGGCGTTTCACGGACATGTTCCAGAGCGGGTCGCCGGTCCGGGTCAACCGGCTCGCGTGCTGGAACGGGGACACGCTCGAGCCGTTCATCGCCAACACCAACATCGCCGTCGCTCCGGAAGACAACGTCGGCCTCCCGCGAGCGTTCGACGTCCGCGCGCTCCTCCTTGAGAACGACGGCGGGATTCTCATCGGAGGGGACTTTGGCAACGCCGCCACGGTGAGCTACATCCCGCAAGGCGAGTGCGCCGGGCCGATCAGCTTCCTCCACGACCTGGCGCGTCTCAGCGGCACCGCGTACTCCTCCCCCTGCACGCAGGTCCCGGAGACGCAGTGCAGCGAGTTCTCGACGAACCCGGGAGGCGAGTTCTCCGGCGGGTTCATCGAGGACATCGCCCTGGTGGGCAACAACGTGTACATCGCCGGGTCGTTCGAGAACGCCGTGTGCTCGTTCGCGCCGTTCCCGGGCTTCGTCAACGGCGTCGCCCGGATCAGGAACGGGGCGACCGAGCCCCTCACGGACAGCGAGACGCTGCTCACCGGGATGAGCGGGATCGTCGACTTCACCGACCTGACCGTGACCGAGATCGAGCCCGGACCCGACGGGATTGTGTTCTTCGCTGGGGAATTCCAGCGTGCCGGAGGGCACCTGTGCGACAGCATCGCGGCGTGGTTCACTCAGGAAGAGCAATGGCTCCCCCTCGCCGATGCCGTGACAACACTCTCAGGTGTCTTCGACCTCTTCGCAGGGGATCCCGGCGAGATCCACGATCTGGCGTACGACGCTGAACGAAATCGGCTCTACGTCGCCGGACAATTCGGAACCGCCGGCGGGCGCACCGCGTTCAACGTCGCCTACTTCGACCTGAGCACCGAGATCTGGCACCCTCTCGAGCACCGCGCGCTCGGCCTCTGCCTCGGCGACTGCGACCAGAACGGCGAGGTGGACTTCAACGACCTGGTGAGCATGCTCTTCCAGTTCGGCAACGACACCGGCGACGGCTGCGACGCGGACGAGAACGGCGAGGTGGACTTCAACGACCTGGTGACGGCGCTGTTCCTGTTCGGGCCGTGCCCGTAGAACGGGAACAACCGCGACCGTGAGGGAGCGGGCCGGAGGGGTCGTGTCTCACTCGGCCCGGGTCCCTTCCTTCACACGCCACCGGACACCCCGCCGCCGCCTGACGGAGCTGCACCGCCTTGGCTTGCTTCCTCACGGGCGCGGTTGCTCTCGGGAAGCGCCCTGGAACAACCGCGAGCGTGAGCGAGTCGGGCCAGAGGGGTCGTGTTGCACTCGGTCCGGGTCAGCACCCCCACCGACCCGAAATGTCTCCTGCTCATCTCACTTGGAATTTACCACCGCTGAGTGCGAGCGGCACCGCTTCGGCCCGCTTCCTCACG